AATCCGCCTTCCAAACACCGTTTCTTGGGGCGCTCTGAGTGGGTTCTTCGCAGCGGCGATCACAACATTCCACCGCAAGAAGCTGAATTCAAGTTTAAATAACCTCGAGAAACTCTGCAAGTCATGTTTACCGGATGCAGAAGCGCGTACATACTACGAAGAAGTTTGCAACTACAGACCTGAAGGAAAGCGGAAATCGGGAAGACCACGAATGAGATGGTTTGAAAGTGTTCTTTTTTGTAACCTCGGAAGAATAATAATGAGAAATTTCGTTTATTTTATGTTTTCCATACGGAACTACGTTTATCTGCTATACAAAGCATTAAAACCGTTTCAACTGGTTAGGTTATATCTGAGAACACAGGCGCCTCGTAAAACTCTCTGCAGTGCTGCCAACATCACCTTCACTCGGTGCAAGCCATTCCCACGAAGTAGATTAAATGATGACCTAGTCACACCCCTTTTCAGAATCATCAATTTTAACGCATCACCAGACAACACTTTTTGATTTATAGATTGTGTGCACTGACTGAAGACCTCAATCTGACACTGGAGCATGACAGGAGGAGCTTAAAGAGATAATGATCACCACCTACACGTATTTCATATAAAACCAATGGTATCAGCACGAATTACAACTTTTGTGGAATTTAGAGCTGTGTGACGTAAAACACACTTCTTCTGGTGGTACACGATACAACTACGTATCATTCACGATAAAAATAAACTCTAGAATCAACGGATTCGGCTTTTGCCACAGAAACATGAATACGCCCGGCGAAGCCTTGGAAATTCTGTCAGTAGAATTGCTATTGGTGACGATTAAAAACTTGAGAATGGAGTTATAAATACACGTGTGTTGGAGTAAAAGAAAAAAATCAGCTGCCTTTCTGAACTAATACGATATCATGCAGCAGCGCGGCTGAACGTTTCTGCGAAAAAGCAGTTTCAGATACCACACACCACATCAATGGTTTACTCCAACAAAGCCAGCAGCCAGCTTCCAGTACCCTGAATAAGAGAACTCACCATTCACTTCACGTGCAAAAATCTAAAACCAACTCCACAGAACAGAGTCCTTGTTGATAAGCTGATAGTCCTTCAGACAGTCAAGACATTGAAAACCTTTTACGAAACTCAAAGATCCATTACCGTGTTCACAAAAGCCCGCCACCGGCACGAACCCACTCCACACCCTATTTCACTAAAATCCGTTTTAATATTATCCTCCCGGTGGTTTGTTGCCTTCAGGCTTTCCGAACAAAGTTCTAAGCGCACTAGTCATCTCCCCCATGACCCATCTGCCTCAGAATTCAAACTACGGAGCTCCCGAGTTCCTGTAATTTCCTCCAGCCTCCCTCCCGTCGCTTTATCGTCCCTCGGCCCAAATATTCTCAACACATCGCCTTACGTATAGGCTAACTCTGTTACATTGCAATGGATGGACAAATTCACTCATCATACAGTCAAGGTGACGGGAGTGCTACATTTCCAATTACATTGCAGATCGGCACCTGGCTTAACTTTCGGTAACTCGACAGTATACCAGGCTTGCTTGGAAAAAAGCAACTTTTGAAATCGACCATCTAACGCCCCGTGCCACCTGCTTTAAGAATAAAAAAACTATGCATTTTCTATTTATGTTTTCGTATGACTCTGTTCGAAAAACGATCGACATTTAACATTTAAGAACTCAGTCCGTACCGAAAAGAGAACACAACTCTTCACCATTACAAAAATCAAATGGTTGACGGCGTCTAAGGAAATAATCGCTGTTTATTGCGAAAATCACACGTACTTGCTAGCAGCAAAACAGTAATTTGCATAAACTATTTCACATCACTGAAAAAGATAACCGAAAAAAAAAAAGGATCCGAGTGTGTCAGGTCAGTGTTAAGTTATGCGAATCGCAATTTCGAGAAGATTCATATTAATATTAGATCGCATTGGCGCTTATCAAGGACACAACTGCCCTGCAAATGGTGGTTACGAGGCCATTCGGGTATAATATTAAAAGATATTTGCGGTGACGTGCATTGCATTGAACAGGGCCCCGAAGGAAGGGTTCTGTAATGGCAATGATGAAACACCTTGACAATCGGGTGACTGCACATTGCTCAAGTAGGCAGCCATTCTTCAAAGGCCACAAGGTTAAAGGCAGCGAAGACATTTTCGTCTTCAGGAGGTATGGAGGGGGGGTGGGGGGATCCTTCTAAACCCACTGCGCATGAGCGGCAGGAAGTATGCCTGAACGGAATGCAGTGTTACATTACTGAACCTTAGCTAAAGCCACGCAAAAAGAGAGCAAGCTTCCTTTGAAGGAAGAAGTATAAATTAAAATGACAGTAAAAGTTGAAGGAAAAGAAACTTTAATGGATCGAGTGCATGCGTTCCGGACGGCGGGAGACCCGTCTGAGGTCGAAGTCCTAAACAGAGGTCAAAGGAATAAGACAAAGCACGCACGCAGTGTAGGTCAGGAAGACGTCAATCAACGCGACTCACGGGGGAAGAACTCTCTGTCCCTCGGCGCCGGTCGGTCAGTAATCAGAAGTTCTGATTTGCTGCGGCGAGCATAATAGCCAGAAAGAGCGATGCATCAAGTGGTGAGGTTTAAAAATGCGTGGAGATTCACTTCCACGCCGCGTACATACCGTCGTAATCTTTAGAGTTTAGTGACACATTTCGAGGGCCAACTAACAAGCGAATTCGATAAAATTTGGCATGAAAGGTTCAAAGAAGGACATATCATTATATGATAATGTTTAGTCACAAACGGTGCCTCGTCATGAGGATTTAAAAACGTGTCATTTGCATAAATTATTCAAAATGCAATTCACACGTAACCCTCCAAGCGTCTAAGTTCTTCTTCACTAAGCTACAAAGCTGCTAAAAGCGATACGTACTGCCATGTATATCGACGGCATTAGCGGAAGCGTCCCTTGACATCAGCAAGTATTGTGTGTGGGTGGTACAATATTGCAACGTACGTACGCGGGCCGCGGGATGCGAACACCTGGTCTAGACTTCAGGACGGGGCAGAAAATCATAAAAAAAGTAGCATGTTCTTTTATCGCTGACATAAAGAAAGGAATAAAATGACAAATATTAACCATTTCGATACGGCGTAAATATTATTAGTCGTGCCAGATCTAGACACGCTAAATGAAAAGACAAGGAAAATGTTAAAAATTAAGGTCACGTTTATAAAGACGGAAAGCAATGTAAGTGGTTTCTATGGTCTACGAACAACGATTCAAAGAATCCAGCTGGCGGTGGGCCAAACATTCACAAAACTGCGTAGTCACAAATTGATCGGCAGTGCATCAACTAGGCCACGTCCCCCCTCCCCCTAACCATTAGTTTCTGGAATGGTAGCCAAGTTCTCTGGGGCGGAGGACCATCGATCTGGTCATTTCGAGTGCTACGACCCCTCCTCCACACACACAGAGCGACCCAGACTTCGCTCGTTGGTAAAATATGCAGCGAATCAGTTCAGATTATCTCGAAACCAAGCTGAATGCTACGCGCGGTCACTTTTAACCAACCAAGTCAGTCCATCGGGGCTGAGTCTTTGTTGAAGGTCGTTCAGCTGGTTAAGAAATTAACCGCGTTATCAAAACCCAAGCCCACCGATGCATTCTATCTCCATCCCGCTTAATCCACTCCAAATCCTCCAACCCTGACCCTTTTTCACGCATCTTAATATTATCATCCAATCCGCGCTTAGTACTCCCAAACAATACGATCCTCAGTGCCCAATTTTTTGTATTTTAATCTTACTTCCTGTTTCCATCTTTTAAAGATTCTCCCTAAGTGGTCTTTTCCAGCGAGAAGAAAGAGCCATCGACATCTGGACTGGTACAATAATTGCTACCTGCAGACTTACGTAAAAAAACTTAGACAAAGCTAACAAAACGACAAATGTCCCCCATTACAGTCGGAAAACACTTGGTACAAACTTAATGCATTACAACAAATACCGCATACTTGAACGAACGCACTGTCAAGGTTATTGACATCTGTCATGCCGATAAGACTGCTTTCTGTGAGACTGACAAGAAGGTTTAATGAGGTCCGAAGCACCATCTTTCCTCCTTCCTCCTTCACCCCACTTCCACACCCCCGCAAGTCTCAAGATTACAGTCGCGGACTGTATATAAAGTCGCAAATTTGATTTTCCAACACCAGAACTTCTGAAAGTAAAATGTACAAATCGGTGTTTTCCTGTCTGTTACTGCAGCCTTCTCACACGACTCACAAGCTCAACTTCTCGGGCAACAACTTCTTCAGCAACTGACGCCTCAATGTGCCCAAATTGCGTATTCATAGATTTCGTAAACAGCGATTATTTCCTTAAACAGCGTCAACCAGTCGACCTCCGTAATGGTGAAGTGAAGTGTTTTCTTCGCGGTACGGACTGAATTCTTAAATGTTATTATGACGAGCTCAGCTTCAAAGGGTTAGAGCATAACAGTAATAGTCCATGGCGTAACAGCCCTCTGAGAGCCATAACACTGAAATAATTTCGAAGCCTTAATGACGAACTAAGTGACACGTTCTTATTCGTGTACAGTCCCCAATCTAATGTTGGAAGCCACAACTGACATCGGGGAACTTCCATTCGGCTTTCGGTCTCAAATCACTGCAGGCTCGTACGAAGAGGCCAGGGTCAACAGTTCAATTTGTTAAAAAAAAAAATTAGCGACAGCAGACTTTACACCTCCCCCCACCCTCCGCGCAAATAAGAAATTAAAGAAATAAACGACTTGCTGTTGTATTAAAAAAACATTAAGCAGTCATGATGACAGTAATAGTGGGTTTTTAAAATCCATTTTTTCCTGGAAAATCGTCTGAATTCAGGTTCATATACTCTCGACTTCCAATTCTAGCATGGACGTTTCCATGATATTTTAATACCAAAACGATTGCGCGGAGAAACTGGGAAACGATGCCGGGCGAAGTTCAACCGAGCATTTCCACAAATACAAATCAGCACTTACCTTTGTCGACAGGTATATTAGTTGCGGGTGTAGCAACCGCTTCTGTCGCCGGAGGAGGTTGTTCACAGGTCGCCGGAAGCTTTCCGGTACGGAGTTTCCGGCTCACCGGAGCCGCTCCGGTGTTGGCACCACAGCCTGCAGGCCCACCACTTGGTGTCACGCACGTACCACGGCCCACTCGCGACTGCAAAAAACAGGACGAGGAAACCTTAACTGGCAATAAAAAAAACTGTCGTACTTCAGCGATCAAAAAATCCGCATTTTTGTATTTGTGGGTTTCGCGTGATTCTCGCTGTAAATAGCTGACGTTTCATTAAATAGCATCAAACAACAGATCGTCGTCATGCAGACGTGCTAATCAAATATCATCAGTCTACAACTGAAAGTTTTAAATACTATTTTCAGTAATTCAGCAGAAATATTTTCCACTAATACGTATAGAGGTTTTTACGTATCGAGCTACAAGTCCACAATACTGGTTTATATGACGTCACAAGATCACACATGTTACACACAGAGCAGAGTAAACATAAGAGAACTAGTTCTTGAACAACCAAACAGTTGTTTTTTTGTTTGTTTTTTGCGGTAAACAAATATGACGGGCAATTAGTCTTCATCAATCACCAGTGAAGATAAATTTAGCTGGCAAACTTCCGGATAACGCCTTTATGCAAACTCACGGCGGAGTGAGAATCAGACACGTCACCAGAGACAGCACATTGCCCGCGTTCACGAAGAGACGTCTTGTGAGGCTGTTTCGGCTACCGTGTGATCGCCGACGAACCGAACTCCTACACCCACAGGAACGAACATCCTTGAACATTTAGAGCAGTCACGACCAAAGGGGAAAAGTACCTCTGGGCTTTTCTCCCACTCAGGGCTTCGGAATGAAAGTGCAGAGAACACACATTTCAGCGTAACAGCAGCGTGGGCACAATATTAAATGAACAGTGGTAACAGTACGTACCACCTGCTTCAAAATCAAAACATTCTTAATCTTGCCCTCAGCGTGTCTGAATGGGATTCGTAGGATTTTCAGAATAAACAGCGGTTATTTCCCTAAACGACATTAACCAACTGATCGTTGTCACGGAGACGCTTTGCGTTTAGTCTGAGGGAAGAGGTGAATTTTTAAACAAAATTTAGACCATCTCTGCAAAGCCTACGTCAAATTCTAAGGTTGCAGAAAACACTGTCAGAAATTTTCTGTTAAAACTAATCGCTGACTCCGTCGGTAAGAAAAACAAATCACAGTAGACCGGCTCATTCGTCAATTTTTAAATCTGGCAAAGCAGCTGGACCCGATAACAAAGACGATATTATCTTCAAACATCTGCCTCTATCGGGCCTTAAATTCATTGCCACAATTTATGAACGCGTCAACAACAAATAATTACTTTCGGTCCAAGTGGAAAATTGCCAGAAAAATTTCCCAAACGGGGACGCGGATCACGTAACACAAATTCCGGTGAAGCATCTCCCAGGTCCACCCACTTCTCTCTCTCTCACACACACACGTCTGCATGTAGGTCAAATGCTGTAAAGCTCCGGGCATCAGAACACGCGCTGCATTTGGAGTAAATACCGACACGTGGCGAATGAATGAGTGTCACAAGTAGCAATGTACGGGCTCATGCTATAGGTATCTCGTATCACTCCTCCATGTTCTTCCAGTTTGGTGTTAGTAGTTTCCGAACGCACCCTTTAATATTCTCGTCATTCATTTACACAAACAGTACAGACGGCAACTGGGGGGCGATCAGCCATAAGAGATCGAAGGTAGTCTTCAGAAATGGAGACAGGATGTACCTCCGAAACTGGTACCTACCTTCAAGACCACCAAAATGGCGAACTTTCGACATCTTCACCACTGCGAGAACCTAAAATCCCATGCCTAGTTCTTATTCTCACGACACTCAGAGACACCTTCGCTCACTTGCCTAAGTTCTGCACAATACGAATCCAGTCCGTACCGCGAAGAGAACACAACGCTTCCACCATTACAAAGTTCAACTTGTTAACGCTGTTTAAGGAAATAATCGTCCATTCTTGTGTGTTGGTAAAGTGCACAGCTGCTGATTAGTTACACCTAAGGGCTTTAAAGGGTTAATTGTGAACTGAGTACAATGTGGACTTTAACTGGCCTTCATGACGACAGGACGAACAGTGTGACAAGGCATAAGGATTCTTAAACTTGAAGTGAGAATTTATGAGACCTTCCTTACTTAAGTGATTCCATCTATACAAAGCAGTGAAGTGAACATAATTACGTAACGCACGGGCACATTTTTGTTGCAGTAATTTTCGCTAGTAGAAATTCTCACCTCCTGAAAGTTAATGGAGATGAATTCAAGGTTGTCATTCGTGCGAGATCAAGGCGCATGGATTATTCAATAAATATTTGCAGACGAGCTGGCATTTAACCTCTGTACCAAATTACAGACAGTTACGGTTGAATCGGTAGTTTTGATTATTCATACTTCAGAGGTCCCAGGTTCAAACCTACGCCGTTCCAAAGTCCCACATGTGAGTCAGAATTCTTGGTTCAAAATAAGCAAGAGGTGAAAGTATTAATGCAAGAATAAGACGAAGAAGTTATAAACGAGAAAGAGAAAACGAATAACCAGAGTTATAAAGAGAAGTAGGTCACAATTAATTCACCAGTCTCAAAACAGCTTTAAATGAACTGCATCGATAAAGTCAGGTCGTAAATTTTTATATAAACTTTTGAAGCTTTGCATCGTCAGAACCGATAGAACGGCCGAACAAAGTGAACTGGAAAGCAGGGCACGAGATGCAGTTCTAAGCCCGGGAAATTGAGTGAAAGTCTGAAAAAAGAAAAGAAAAAAAAGCAAGAACACATCGTCTTCCTAGAAGTCAGTGGCCTATCTAGAATTTAGATGGCTTCTGTTTTGAGGAAACTACGTCGTTACGAACCTTCTATGTTGGTGGTAAAAATGACGGTCTCTGGTTACCATAAACGTAATGGACAATTATCCCGACCTAAAAACGGGAATTACTCGTACTTTCGTCACTCAGAATCCAGAAGACATGGTTAAACTATAAACTTCTGGAGCTTCCTGAGATGGCAGTTTCTTCTTAAATAAAATCCGGCCGGATCCTGAGGCACACAATAACCAATATTTAATTATAATAAATATCAGCATTTCCAACACGAAATTCACTTCCCGGTTTAAGGAACTGCAGATCCACAGTGTTTCTTCTCAAGTCATAATAACTGTCCTCATCCTGATGATGGTAGCTAAACGCTCGAATTACTCTCCTCAGCACCTTCTGCTCAAAAGCCCTCGCCCACGCTGGAGCTCAATCAAAGTTTGGCGTTCCGAGGTAATGGAACAAGATTTCGGAACAAGGCAGAGTAATGAGGGGTACAGTACCCACAATTCAACGGGTCAATGCACAGCGTAGCTGAGTTATGAATGGGTCCTCTTTTGACCTCAGGCAACACCGTAATTATCCAACCAGAAGATGAAAGGCGGAACAAGCGCTGTTATGAATATGAACTTTCCTAAATGACGTCCAATACCAAACACGCCCTTCGGATATTACAGCATCGACCAACCGGCATTTGCCCGTCACAGAGACATTTCAATTTGCACACACACACACAGCGTTTAAATGATAGGCTGTCCATTCAGGGGGAAATCAATAGGGTTTAGGGGTAAGGGGTTTAATAAACAAAAATGGAAGTCGCATGACGTACGTGAACAGAGGTAGGATTCGAACGTTCCATACCTTTTCCCGGAAGTGGACGCATTATCAGCTGTTTGTTTGTCAATGTGTGTTAAGGAAACACCGGGTAATTTCACAGCCAGACACGAAGGACGTAAATTGTACGATACAAGTCTTTCACATTTATCTAAAACATTTTGACACGGTAAAATACAACGGAAAAAAGTCGAAACAGAGAAAAAACTGTTTGTGCATTGTGCCCATTGGCTTACGAACAGATAAACATCAAGGGCAGTTGAAAACTTGTCTGGAAAACGCGATGCAAAACTTTCCACTCCTGTCGGACGTCCGTCGTCCACTGTCAAAATGATTTCAGAGTGCAGCAGGCATGAGTGTCCCCAAGATATGGTATCATAACCCGTCGCATGCAGAAGTTCATCTTGTTGCAGCCCCAACCCGACAAGAAACCTGGCCGAGCTGTCGAGCAAGCAGGAAGGGGTGAATATCTGGACCGACATTCTCACCCCATCCAACATAAATCAACCCCAACACGGCATTTAATGCTCGGTGCAACCCCCCCACAGATAAGGGTAATCAACGACAGGCAAAGTGAGAAGCTTCAGTCACAAGTCACTTAACTAATCAACTGACAGGTCGAAATGACCGACTGTGGTCGCGGATTGGAAGTTGCAAATGGCAGACGGAACCAGCCGCGACGAATCCGCAAGATTAGGAAAGCAAAGAGAACTGAAAATGGGAAAATAAATTCTCCAAACCAACCATCACATTAACCAAGTGAGACCGGAGATCGTCTAAATAATATTTAGGAATTCAGTCCGTACCGCGAAGAAAACACTTCACTTAACCATTACAAAGATCAACCGCTTAACGCTGTTTAAGGAAATAATCGCTGTTTACAGTGAGAATCATCAGAGACGCATAAATACAAAACGAGGTTATTAATTGTTAAAGCTTGTGCGACAAGGCCTTAAAAGGGTTACGGATTTCTAAAACTGTAGTTAGTTTTATGAGGATACTCGACAAAGTTAACTTCACGATCAATAAACAGGCGATGAGGATGTTAAGTTTGTTTTAACTTCGTAATTAATTAAATTCCCTGCGAAA